GGTCTTAACAAGACAACCATCAGGTAAAAAAGTGTTGTTTATATTGTGCAGTCATAACTATAGCTTAGAATAGGAGTTCTATAATTTATCATTTCAATGTTGAACCATATACAATTACAGGCATTTACTTGGCCTTTGCGTAATGGAAGCTGTGAGTCAGTAAATTGCTATACACTCTCCATTGCAGCTAATTACACTGATAATGAAGTAATTATACTGATCTCTTATCACGTAAGGAACATATGTATATGTATGAAAAGGAAAGAGCGAAGGAACAGATTTATATGTATGAAAAGGAAAGAGGGAAGGAACAGATTTATAGGCAAAAACCAACATTTAATCCCTCAGCTTACAAAATTAGTAGATTTTAGCCCATCACTTTATAACATGATAGTTTTAGCTCTTTATCTTACAAAATTAGTAAGTTGTAACTCTTCATCTTACAAAGTTGGTAAGCTTTAACCATTTATTTTATATTATGATATTTTTAACCTCTCATCAATACGAATTAAAGAAAATAGTCATCACCTAACATCAAGTTATAACGTTCTGTTAGTTTTGTTAGTTGACTGTTAACATCCGTTAACATTCTGTTATAAAAAATATAAAATTTAAATTTAATTTTATTTGTTAGCTTCATTAACGGAATGTTAATTCCGTTAACGGATGCTAACAGTCAGTTAATAGAATTAATAGTTAGCTAATAGAATTAACAGTTAGCTAATAGAACTGACAGTTAACTAATAGAACTAATAAAATATTATAATCTGATGTTAAATAAGAGTTATTTTCTTTAATTCGTACAGATAAGAGACTAATAGCGTCATAATATAAGGTGAGGGGCTAAAATCTATCAACTTTGTAAGATGAGTAGTTAAAACTTATCAACTTTGTAAGGTGAGGGGTTAAAACCTACCAATTTTGTAAGATGAGGGTTAAAACCTATCAATTTTGTAAGTTAAAGAGCTAAAAGTGTTTAGCAGTTAAAAGTTGGTTTTAACCTATATTTATATGTATGAAAAGGAAAAAGAAAAGGAATATATGCATTCCTAATAATCTCATAAAGATAGAAGAATACTAACAATCTGTTGATCTGAGTAGAAGGAACTCGGTTCTCCTTAAGGGCCTGTTCGGTATAGCGGTTTTGACGTAGCAGTTAACGATTTTACCTAAGCCGCTAAATATAGGTGTTTGGCAAATTCATATATTTTGAAATCGCTACAAATAAAGTGTTTGGTAAAATTTTTATTTAGCAGTTTGAGACTAGCGGATAGCGGTTAGGGTCTAAACTGCTAGTGGATTAAAATTTTTTAATTTTATTGACAAATTTATCCATTTTAATTTTTTAATTTGTGGTCACATTTTTTAATTAATAATTATCTAATAAATTTTAATTTTGTTTTTTTACCTTTAATAACATTAAGT